CACCCCCCCCCCCTTCGATCAGTAATGAGCCACCGCCTGGCTCTTGGCGACGGTGTACGTATCTGGGACCGCCTCGCGCGATCTCGCACAATCTCGGCGCGCCTGGCTCTTGGCGACGGTGCACATATCTAGGAGCGATCTCGCACAATCTCGGCGCGCCTGGTTCTTGGCGACGGTGTACAACGCGAAGAAGAGAAGCAGCCCCGCGTAGCCGATCCCCTGTTCACAGCGCGTCACCCCCGTCACAGCTGTGAAGAGGAAAAGAAATCCGCGTCGGCCGAGCTCGCCTGTTCACAGCGCGTCACCCCCGTCACAGCTGTGAAGAGAGAAAACGAAATCCGGTGCACAGCAGCTCGCCTGTTCACACCACGCGCCCAGTCACATGCGCATTGGGAGAGAGAAAAGAAATCCGTGTCGCCGAGCTCGCCTGTTCACAGCGCGTCTCCTCCGTCACAGCTGTGAAGAGAAAAAGAAATTCGCGTCGGCCGAGCTCGCCTGTTCACAGCGCGTCACCCCGTCAAAGCTGTGAAGAGAAAAAAAAACTCCGGCGGCCGCCGCCTCGAGCGCTGTGATGGTCTCGCATATCTCCCGCATATCTCCCGCATATCTCCCTCATATCTCCCGCCTCGAGCGCTGTGATGGTCTCGCATATCTCCCGCATATCTCCCGCATATCTCCCGCATATCTCCCGCATATCTCCCGCATATCTCCCGCCTCGAGCGCTGTGATGGTCTCGCATATCTCCCGCATATCTCCCGCATATCTCCCGCATATCTCCCGCCTCGAGCGCTGTGATGGTCTCGCATATCTCCCGCATATCTCCCGCATATCTCCCGCATATCTCCCGCATATCTCCCGCATATCTCCCGCATATCTCCCGCCTCGAGCGCTGTGATTGTCTCGCCGAAGAACAGCGCGGACGCTAACACAAGCCCGCCGTTGCGCGCCATTGTGATCAGCTTGAGCGAGACCTGGGTTCACAGCCGCAGGTGTGAAGAGGCGCCGTTCACAGGCGCGCACGCCGGCGGGTCGGCTGAAGTTGCGTGACGACGTGAAGTGTCTAGGAAGTGTCTAGGAGGTGTCTAGGAAGTGTCTAGGAAGTCTAGGAAGTGCCTAGGAAGTGTCTAGGAAGTGTCTAGGAGGTGTCTAGGAGGTGTCTAGGAAGTGTCTAGGAAGTGTCTAGGAGGTGTCTAGCAAGTGTCTAGGAGGTGTCTAGGAGGTGTCTAGGAAGTGTCTAGGAGGTGTCTAGGAAGTGTCTAGGAGGTGTCTAGGAAGTGTCTAGGAAGTGTCTAGGAAGTGTCTAGGAAGTGTCTAGGAAGTGTCTAGGAAGTGTCTGGAAGTGTCTAGGAAGTGTCTAGGAAGTGTCTAGGAAGTGTCTAGGAAGTGTCTAGGAGGTGTCTAGGAAGTGTCTAGGAGGTGTCTAGGAAGTGTCTAGGAGGTGTCTAGGAAGTGTCTAGGAGGTGTCTAGGAGGTGTCTAGGAGGTGTCTAGGAGGTGTCTGGAAGTGTCTAGGAGGTGTCTAGGAAGTGTCTAGGAAGTGTCTGGGAAGTGTCTGGAAGTGTCTGGGAGGTGTCTAGGAAGTGTCTAGGAGGTGTCTAGGAGGTGTCTAGGAAGTGTCTAGGAAGTGTCTAGAAGTGTCTAGGAAGTGTCTAGGAGGTGTCTAGGAGGTGTCTAGGAAGTGTCTAGGAAGTGTCTAGGAGGTGTCTAGGAAGTGTCTAGGAGGTGTCTAGGAGGTGTCTGGAAGTGTCTAGGAGGTGTCTAGGAGGTGTCTAGGAGGTGTCTAGGAAGTGTCTGGAAGTGTCTAGGAGGTGTCTAGGAAGTGTCTAGGAAGTGTCTAGGAAGTGTCTAGGAAGTGTCTAGGAAGTGGCTAGGAAGTGTCTAGGAAGTGTCTAGGAAGTGTCTAGGAGGTGTCTAGGA